CTTGATTAATCAAGAATATTTCCTGCATTTTAATTTTAATTGAATTTGAATTTAATAAAATTTATATGCCGCCCAATCCCGTAGGACTCCGGGCGGCTTACAAATACAAGAATAAAATAAAAACTAAAATATAGGAAAAAGAAAAGATAGATTAAAAACCAACACCCCATACACTCAGTCCTCAATGGGGCTGGCCCTCATTAGGGGGTCAACAGCCCCAGGCCTGCTGGAACAGCCAGGTTTTAGTGGTTTTTCGGAAGGCCGAGAGAGTGGGAAGGGTCCGGATCTCCACTGGCAGATCATTCCACAGGGCCAGAGCAGCTATAGAGAAAGACCTCCCCCGAGTGGTCGCCAGTCGGCATTGCCCGGTCGACGGCACCCGGAGGAGGCCCAGCCTGTGAGATCTTATAGGTCGTTGGGAGATATGTGGCAGGAGGCGGTCCCGCAGATATCCAAAATCCCTGAAGGCCCAACCCCTTTAGGACCTGGGAAAGGTTGCCAGGGATGCTCCCCTCCTATCCCCTGCCACTCAGAAGAGCAGCCCAGTCGGAGGCTGGCACCGCAGCTCTGGAAACCTGGCAAACGCCAAACGTCCTCCCAGGGATGGCAGGGAGGCTTCTGCGCTTTCAAAGGGCGGCGGGAGGAAGCCCCGCAGCCTCCGTCCGGGTGTCTCCGTGGCGTTAACCTTCCTGCTTGTTTCAGGTGTATTCATGCTGGTGGCTGGAGGTATTGTGGCCGGGATATTTTTAATATTCATAGAAATAGCATACAAAAGGCATAAAGACGCCCGGAGGAAACAGATGCAACTGGCGTTCGCGGCAGTTAATGTGTGGCGGAAAAACCTGCAGGTAGGACAGACCGTTTTTAGAGCAACTCCTCCAAAACAGGTGCGGTTTTTTTTGTTTCCCATTACTTCACCCAATCAGTGACTACCGTGCTACGGGGGATGCCCAGCGGCCTCCCTTCCCACTTGCCACTGACCGAGGCAGCAGTTCCATGGGGGGGGCAGGAGGGGAGGGGAGGCGTTACACACACGCCCCCCAAGCCCACCTCCTGCTTTCTGGGGAGGCCAGTGGGGGTGCTCTGCAAATCCAGCCTCTTTTTCCCTGGCTGTGGCCCAAATGCTGCACTTGCCGGCTGGGCCCCCCCTCCTCCTCCCACCCCCTCCGGTTTCCTGTTCTGCCCATTCAGGAGTCCAACGCTAGGAAAGATGGCGTCACCGTCAGGCTGCGGTGGGGGGGTGGGGGTGGGGGAGCCCTTCCAGGAAGGAGGCCTGCTTAGGCGATCCAGTGCACAGTTCCATGGCTAAAGCTATTCACACAATCCACAGCCCTTGTTCCACCCAATGTCCCTTTAGCATCCCCCCCCCCGCCCGCTGTCAGAAGAGGAGAGTAGAAGTGATGGAAATCTCCACTCAGCCACCCCCAATTCTCACCATTTATCCCCTAGAGGCAACCTTTCGAACAAACACGCTCACTTCTTTCACATCCCAGCAAACGGGATCCGGTCAGCGGCTCCTGTTACTGGCATTCCCCACCCCACCCCGTCTGTACAGGACATAAGCCAAAATCTGCCACTTGCCCTCCTCTTCATGCCAATGCCGCCCACCCAATCAGAATGCCTGTTGCCGAGTGAGGGTGCCAGCAGCCACCTTCAGCATCCCAGATGAGGGCATCCACTTCCCGCTGGTGTGCCACGCCCTTCCTGACAAAGGGTGTGCCCACAACCCCCCCTCCTCTCCTTTCCCAGAGGAGCAAAAGGGAAGCGGTGCAACAGTCTTTTCTTTGCCAGGCAGCCAAACGGAGCCCCTTGTGCAGAGGAGGGAAAGCGAAGGGGGTCCAGCAGGCCCATTCCCACCTGCAGAGGCACCTGAAGCTGCTGAAGCCCCTTCGAGGCTCGGGGTGGGACGGGACGGGCGGGTGTGGGGATACCAGGAGAAGGCAAGCTGGGCCGGCTAATGCAAAGCCGCCCACCCACACGACTCTCCATGAGCTGCCCAGGAGTCCTTACCTCCCTGCCCCCCGCCCCGCAGCCACGCAGAAGGGGGTTTGACCCAAAACAAGAGCACATTAGTCACTGCCATTTTTCACTTGCCAACTTTCTAGAAAAAAAGTCCTCCCCTGGGCCATGGGGAGGTGGGGGGGGAAAACGAATCTTGTGGGGCGGTCAACTCAAGCATGCCACCCCAGGGGTGATAAATAAACAGAGAAACGATGCTAAGAGATCCGTTTGACAATGTAAGACTTTTTCACAGGAGGATTCCTCAGACCACTAGTATCTGGTACATTACTAGAAGGTAGGCAAGTGGAAAGATTTCTTTCTTCAAGAAAAAAAAATATAAATATATATATATATATACAAAAAAAAGCAAATATATCTATTAACTTTTTTTTTTTGGTTTGGTTTTTTATTTTGCTACCTGGGGAAAAAAATTCACAGTTTTGCCATGGCTGTTTTTGGCAATGCCATGGGAAAGGCAAAAAAAAAAAAAGAAAAGAAAAGAAAACCCAAAATGAAACCCCCTCCCCTCCCCTCCCCTCCTCTTGCTAGGTTTTCTTTTTCTGTGCATGCGCGTCGGAGTCATGGAGAATAACTGGAAAGGAGGAGGAAATGTATCTCCCGCGCATGCCCCATGCACCAGTGGGATACATTTTTGGTCACCCCCTGTTCACGGGCTGGTAGAACCACACCTGGTTTCACCTTTCCCTCTCCCAAAGGGGTTAAAGAGAAAAAAAAAAGAATGGGGAGAATTCGGATCGGCTGGGATGCCCCCCCCCTCACCCTGCCCCACAAGAAAAACAAGCCCCCACACACACAGTGTTGACCAGGTCTGACTTCCTACCACCCAACAGCTGTCTTTTTTTTTCCCCCTCTCCATTCTGTTTTCTTTGAGTTCCTGGCATCCTTAAATATCATTCAGAATTGTAATGCTTTGCTTATTTCCCTTTTCTTTTCCTTGTTTTGAGTTTTAATTTCAAGAGATTTTTGTTGTTTTCTTCTTTTTTTTAGAAAAAAATATATTATTATTTTACGTTGAAAAAAAAAAACAGTTCAAGTTTTACGCCAAGCATCACTGAAGTTTTTGGAATACTTTTTTTTAACATACAATGACCTTCTCTTCCAATGCAGTCCTCTCTCTCTCTTGTGGCCGTAGGATTCACCTTCAGAAAAGGCCCTGAGCATTTTTATTTAGTGGTAGGTGAAAGTGTCTCACCTCTCTCTCTAGTTAGACCAGACGCGACAGGAAGGAAGGAAGGAAGGAAGGAAGGAAGGAAGGAAGGAAGGAAGGAAGGAAGGAAGGAAGGAAGGGGCAGGGAGTGAGATGTGTCCCTATCGTGTTTCCATGATGCCCTGTCCGTGTTCCTCCTGGGGAGGCCAGTGGAGCAGCCAAGGCCTCCGGAGTGTATAAAACGCAGCGGAAATCCAGCTGCTGGCTCTGCCCTCCTTTCCCCCCGCCCATGCCCACCCCCCCACCTCCCCGTGCCCGTCTCAAGGGGATCCTTTCCACCCCATCTCAACCTAGTTCCGAAGGAGACCTTCAGACCGATCGGCCCTGGCGTAATTCCCGAGCCGCCCAGGGTCAGGGCCAGGTGTTATGTCTGGGACGGAGAGCCATCAGGAGATGGTAGGCGTTGTCTTGGCCGTAGAAGGCAGACAAGAGATGTATCCAGGATCGTTGACATGGGGTTCATCTAGGTGTAGAGATCCAAGCCACCAAGCCAATGGAGATCTAATCGCTTATATACATATTCATTTTAGGATAGAAAAAGTGGTAGAGCAGAACCAGACCCTAAAAAGAAAGCCACATTTAGGTCCATCACCTCTACCCTGGCCTCCAGCTTCAAGAGACGTAGGTCATCCAAAGACACGGTAAGAGGAAGAAAAAAAACAAAAACAATTGTGCCCTCTTTCTTTTCTCTCACTCTCTCTCTCTCTCTCTCTTTCCTTCTTCTTCTTCTACCATCCCATCAACTACCACACACCCATCCCGGAGCTACCCGTGTGACCTACCATAGCCTCATGTCCGTCCAGAGTCAGTCGGTCGGTCAGTCAGTGAGTCAGTCAGTCAGTGAGTCAGTCCCGTGTCCCTTGGCAAGTTTCAAAGCCGAAGAGGGCAAAAGGAAAGTTTTGAATGCTTTGCAAGTGTCCTGTGAAGAAGAGTTTAGAGAAAGAAAGAAAAAAAAAACTGCAATGAGTTCCTTGTTCTAGTTTACTTATTTATTTATTTTGGATTCTTTTCTTTCATTCTGTTTAGAATTGTGGTTTAAGTTTTGCTCACTTTACCGATACCAACAAAAATCAGCTCCCCCCCTCCCCCACTGTTTTCTGAGTGTCCCTGTTTGTCCCCTATATGCTTAAAAGCGGCTACCGACCCCTCCCGCACTCACAGCCCCCCTCCCTCTAAATTCTTCCCTTCTAAATCTGGGCAATGTCTCACCTCACGCTGAGCCACATGTTCATTGTATTCTTTTACCTGTAACTTCTGTTTGTGTTTTTCAAAAGAAAGAGGACATTTTTTTAAAAAAAAGAAAAATTCTTTTACTTTACTTTTTGTGTCAATAAGAGGCAACTATACTCTCTGCTTGTAACACTCCGGACTGAGCTGTGCAGGCTGGCAATCAATAATTCTTTGGAGTGGTAGAGTTCTAGAAAAGCAAAAGTTGTTGCTGTGTGTTGGTGTGTATCTTCCCCAAACCCTAGCAATCCAGCCCAATGAGAAAAATGCTCCTCTGTTTTAAACCCAAACACCCTGTCGAAAGAGAGGCTCATGGAAACGCTTGCTCTCAGCTTTCTGCTTTTCAACAAGCCCCCCCCCCCCCAAGCGGGCCAGGGGGCACAGGGTTGCATGTAGAAATGTAGCAAGGGAGGGCATCTCCCATCTGCATGACCTGGACTGGATTCCCATGTACCACTGCATGTTGAAATGTTTGGGAAGGAGGAAATGGAATTTCTCTTTTCTGCTCTGCAGCACAACACCAGGAATTGGCTCACAAAACTATTTCTTGCAGTGAGCCGAAATAAAACTTTTAAATATTTATTTTTATTTAAAATTTCCTTTGAAGGGAGGGTATAGCTTATAAGAATGGGTTTTTTTTTTGAACTGCAAGAAGCTACCAGAAAAGTGGGGAGTCCCAGTAACCCACCCACCCACCCACCCCCAATGATAAGGTAGGAGAAGTGAGAACGCTTCCCCTGCTGCCCGCAGACTGGGCTCGGCCGTGAACCGATAGAAAAAAGGAAAACCTGCAAAGGAGGAAGGACATTCAGGGAGAGGTTCAGCGCCCCACCCTGCCCCTCGGAGCAGTCGCTAGGGGCTCGGACCACTTTCAAAGGCCTCCTTCCCCAGGCCCCGCAAAGCTCTCAGGGAAGCCCTCAACCCCGAGCAGAAGGTCCTCTGGCCACTTCTCCCTCACCATCTATGGGCAGGTACGTCCCAGGACACGAGCCAAATTGGCGCTCCGGGCAAGGAGCCTTCTTCCTCCCCAATGAAAACCAGCTTCAAAAGCAGCCCCCCCTTTTAAAAACAAAATAGAGAGAGAAGGACAAGGAACAAGAAATGATATTCAATGATTTTTGGGTTTGCGGAAATACCACCCCAAGAAAATATAAATTAAGAGCTGGAAGAGACACTTGCAACAATAGAAAAAGAAAGGAAGAGAGGAAATGAGAGGAAAGGGAGGGAAGGAAGAGAGAGGTGAGGAGAGGAAGATGGAAGGGAGAAGAGAAGGAGAGAGGGTAGGAAGGGGAAGGGGTAGAGAGAAGTAGGGGAGAGGTAAGGGGAGAAGGAAGGGAAAGGAGACGAGGAAAGAAGAAAGTAGAGAAGGGAGGGAGGGAGAGAAAGGAAGAGAGGAGAGGAAGAGAAGGGAAGGAAGATAGGAGAGGAAGATGGAAGGGAGAAGGAGAGAAGGAGAGAGGGTAGGAAGGGGAAGGGGTAGAGAGAAGTAGGGGAGAGGTAAGGGAAGAAGGAAGGAAAGGAGACGAGGAAAGAAGAAAGTAGAGAAGGGAGGGAGGGAGAGAAAGGAAGAGAGGAGAGGAAGAGAAGGGAAGG